GTCGTGCTTCGACACGTGGGAGATATAGCCGCATCGAGGGCATTACACACCATGTATATGTCATATGACGAGGTGGCTTTCCAGGGCCTGATAGGCGCTGGTTCTTCATCGTCTCCTTCATCGGTGTCCATACCGTCGATGTCTTCGGAGTCGAAGTCGAGCATGTCGGTTAAGTCGTCGATAGTGGCTACAAAGTGGGTGGTGGGTGGGCTTTGAATTTCTTCATCGTCCGAATCCCAACCTTGCTGACCGTAGTCCGGCCAGGGCTCTCCTGATAAAGAGAGAGACTTCAGTGTCTTGAGAATATCGCCGAAAGGCGAGTGCTGAAAGATGTCCGCGGTAGTAAACTCCATGATCGGCGCCCAATCGGATTCGATCGGCAGGGGCGCGGAGGGTTCGGAGTCCGGAGAGGAGTCCGGCTCCTTGGAGTCACAAGTCTCGCAAAGTGCGGGGCTGGTGTTCGGCTCGATCGCCATTGGGATCGCAGCCCCCGAGGCGGCGTCCAACCACCCATCCTTGATCGGCGCATTTGGCTCTGAATTAAGGGTCGAAGCCGATGAGGGTGCGGCCTCCAGGGCACTATTCGGCGGCAGAGCTAGATCATGATCATCGTGACAGTGCGGCGCGTTCGGCAGTGGCTTGAATTCGTCGAAGATCAAGTCCCCGCGGATGTCAGCTGTGTAGTTTAAGCTTCTAAATCTGACCTGATGGCCAGGGGCATAGCTTTCGATCTGCTTCAGATGGCCAAGTGAATTGGCCCGAAGTGCGAAGCCGCCGAAGACGAAGATCTGTCCGGGGAGGAAGGTCTCACCCTGGACTGCATCGCCATTGATGACCGTAGGAGCCATCAAGCCTGACGGCGACGACACAGTGGAACTCTCAATGAAAGCACCAATGTCGGTGTCAAAGCCGGCGGATCTCGGGTAGGGGGTCCCGAACTGTGCGTCTAGGCCGGATGGTAACATGAGGCAAGGGACACGAAGTTTTACCCAGGTTCGGGCCCTCTCGATGGAGGTAAAACCCTATGTCTTGCTTGATTAATATTGATGATATGGGTAGTACAAGAGTAGATCTACCACGAGATCGGAGAGGCTAAACCCTAGAAGCTAGCCTATGGTATGATTGTTGTTGGGTATGTTGTCCTACGGACTAAAACCCTCCGGTTTATATAGACACCGGAGAGGGTTAGGGTTACACAAAGTCAGTTACAATGGTAGGAGATCTACATATCCGTATCGCCAAGCTTGCCTTCCATGCCAAGGAAAGTCCCTTCCGGACACGGGACGAAGTCTTCAATCTCGTATCTTCATAGTCCAGGAGTCTGGCTGAAGGTATAGTCCGGCTATCCGAATACCCCCTAATCCAGGACTCCCTCACCTAGCGACCATCATGACGGTTGTTCTAGCCTGGCTTAAAGCAGTCCAGCTTGGTTAACAAGATGACCCGTCAGCACAACGCCTGTTGGCCCTACTGGCAACAACCCAGGATGCTCAAGATTGGTATCATCTGCATGACGGCATCATCCGACAACATGGCCGGGTGTGGCCTGGTGACAATGTGCCCCTTCGAAAGCAAGTGCTGGATATTCCTGAAGCTGCAACCGTATGTGCAGCGCTCGGTGACCACTTGTGCCAACCAGAAGCTGCCCTTCAAGTACTTTGGGTCGTGCGATACTTCAGTGCGTGGGAGCCGTGGCCTACAAGCTCCAGCTGCCGGACTCCAGCATCGTTCACCCGATGTTTCACGTCTCCTAGCTTCATCAAGCCCTGCCTCCAACGGTGCACGTCCTCGAGCAACTTTCGGCAGCAGCAACGGCAAGTCCAGTCCCCAAGGAGGTCCTGGAGCACCGAGTCGTCTAGTGCGGGGGCACAAGCGCGCCGCAAGTCCGAGTTCGTTGAACAGACCAACCATCGAAATTGGCGACCTCGGAGGACATCGCCGAGCTCCAGCACCAGTTCCCGGATGCACTAGCTTGGGGGCAAGATGTGTCTCGAGGGGGAGGGGATGTTACGGTCCCTGCCACCCTGGCCCCACCTGCAGCGACCACTACGGGCCATGTTGCTACATCAACCAACGAACTGGAACAACCGCGACCCGAAGTGAAGCCCAACAACATGTTTCCGGCCCATACTTGGGAGACGACGGGTAGGGTTAAGTAGGTCTCGAAGCCTCCTGCGCGAGGTGTGGAGAAAGTAATTGGCTGGCGGCGGCTCTCTTCCCTCCCGATTCCCCTCTCTTCTTCCCTGGAACCCTAGACCGATCAGGGCTTGTATCGAATATTTACTCAGAGTGCTACTTAGATCGAGTGGGAGCATAACAGAGCGACGGAAACGCTAAAAAATGCCTTGCCTCATACAATAACATACCGAACCAGATGTGAGTAGAACCGAAGAAAAAGCCTTGGGCTCCAAACACACAGTGAAAACAACGAGAGAAAAGAGGACAATTAGAAAAAAAACAGATCATCAAACATACTTACATCATCAAATTTGAATCTTAAAAAACATGAGTGCACTACATTATGGAATAATGGAGGGGGTAGAAGGCAAACGTGATCTAAACCCAGTCAGTGCGTCGATATCCCCGCCCTGGTCAGCACCGAAATCTGTCTGCCATATCCACGCCACATTTTTTGTTTGGCAAAAGTCTGAAAAAAACCTTGACTTCGTAGTTGAAGTCTAAAATGAACCCTAAACTCCAAATCCTTGAAATTAGCACCCTGTCTTACATAATCCCGGTCTATCCCGACCCTTCTTGGCTGAGAAGGTGTTTGTCTCCGCTGGGATTACACAAATGGTAGAGAGGGGGGGAACAAGGCCAGCTGGTCTGAACGACGTGGTCTGTACAAACGTTGCTGGTGTTTTTTTACGCACAACCACACCATACCACTTCTTTGCTTGCTGCTCTAAACGTGTTGATTTGTTCTACACTTGCACAAATGGTAGTGATCGGAAGTTTTTTTTTGCAAAAATAAAGATACATAGAAAACACATTTGGACTTGTACGTGTGACATGATAGGAAAAACTCATTAAAAAAAATTGGGCGCTTATAGACGCCGGCGCGCCGGCCGAAAGTTTGGGTCGGTCGAGCCCAAGCCGTTGGACGTGAGCCGTGTGGCCGTTGGATCCAGACAAGAAAAAAACAAATTGTCCCTAGCTTCTTCTTCTTCGGGTTATCGGGGTGGATCCCCATGTCCCGCTCAGGGAGCTTGCCTCCTATCCGGGTCGCAGCCCGGGAGGAGAAGGGAGGGGATGCGCGTGCATGAAGGCTAGAGGTAGGGGATGGAGGTGTATAGGAAAGAAGGCGTGTCACACAGGGCCACTGCGTATTGCACGTTGGGCCAGCGTGGTGTGCGAGCGCCCAATGTTTATCTAAAAAAAGTCTTTAATTTCAACTAAAACTAGCTTCCCCAATTTTACTCACGACTAACACACACATGCATTAATGCTCACCCGTCAGAGCTCTCAAACCAACACCGGGAGACGATGACCACGGTCGCCATGGACCGGAGCCATCACGAATCGGAGCAAATCGAGTCAGAGACAACGCTTCCCATGGAGCTCCGGCAGGCAGCAAGGAGTCGCCGCAGCGCCGCCGCCTACGCAATCGTGGAAGGGCGCCCATCTTTATCCGTCGGTGCCGACTGCCACACATGCCACACCGCGTGCCACCAACTCCCGGTGCCAACTCCCCACGACGACCACTCTCCTTCGCGGCAGAGCGCCCCGCAACACCGTAGCCCCGTGAGAGGGAAGAAACGGAGTGCCTCGCCGCCACCGGTACCGTGTGGGCTTTGCCCGGCGGCGCCTACTGACGGCGGTGAGGAGAGGGAGATCTGGGTAGGAGGTAGTTCCCTCGGCGGCTAGGGTTCTGCCCGGGTCGCCCGCGGGGTCCTGTTCTCGATTACACTCCATTTGTTTGCCAGTTCCGAGATATATCAGTCTAGCAGGAGATGAACTATACACAAGATTGAGAAATTTTACACCATTACTGATTAACGATGAAACATGGTGAAACATGCACGTTCCTTCACACACCTACGTATTTGGCTTGTCTAGCTAGCTAGCAACAATGGAGCTTGCGTGCACAGGGCAGACGACTGAACGGCCAGTGATTGAGCACACGTACTCGGTACTCACGCCTGCAAGCACTAAAGATTGAACGGCCACTTCGGTAAGTCTCCATCTATCACATTGCAAAACTATTCGGTTTTCCCTAATCTCTGTTACGTGTGCAATCCTGACGGGGACAAATGCCTCCTCGGCCAAAAAGGTCGGGATAAACCGGGATCAGATAAGACGGGGATTTGGAGTTTAGGGTTCATTTCAGACTTCCACTACGAAATCAAGGTTTTTTTTAGACTTTTCCCTTTTTGTTTTGAGTGAACCATATCCACGCCACCTTGGTAAGCCTGCTGAATCGTTCAACGACATGTCTTAATAATGAGTGAGTGAATCCAGGCCGTTGAATTTGGAAAATGAATCTGACCATGCATGGTACCAAACCCGGCCCGGGGCAACGTGGACCGCTTGTCACTACAAGATGATTCTCTCCGCTCTTTCTCTTCTCTGTTCTAGTAGCAGAGAAGACCGCTCTGTGTGCATGTACACTTGCGACGTTTGATGTGAGATAGCGACAACTGGTCGCCTATGCATCGCTGCGCTTGGTTACCTCGGGTGAAGAAAAAAAATCAAAAGAATCAGCTTCAGCCACGTCAGATCGTACGTGCGTCGGTTGGCGTGGTTGGTAAGACGGGCGGCGTGGATTTGCAGCGGGGACGGAAATGGATCATAATATATGACAGATATGGACATTATAAGGAGCACGACACGACACACCACACCACACCACAACTGCAAAGCCGGTTAAGCTAGAGGAGTCAGGAGAGGAGGTATCATGGACCAACTCGGATTCGGAGTGGTCTCGGACAGTGCAGCGCCTCTGCTTGTGGCCTCGCTCCTCGCCGCCGTCGCCTTCTTCCTCCTCACGCTGGTCAGACATGGCGGCAAGCACGGCCGCCTTCCCCCGAGCCCCATGGCGCTGCCGTTCATCGGCCACCTCCACCTCATCCGCCCGCCTCCCCACCGCGCGTTCGACCGCATCATCAACCGCTACGGCCCGCTCGTGTACCTCCGCCTGGGCCCCTCCACCCACTGCGTCGTCGTCGGCTCCGCCGACGTCGCCCGCGACGTCCTCAAGTTCGAGGGCAGCATCCCCGAGCGCCCGCTCACGGCGGTCACGCGGCACCTCGCCTACGACTCGGCCGGCTTCGCCTTCGCGCCCTACGGCCCGCACTGGCGCTTCATGAAGCGCCTCTGCATGTCGGAGCTGCTCGGCCCGCGCACCATCGAGCAGCTGCGCCCCGTCCGCGCCGCCGAGCTCGCGGGCGTCATGGGCGCGGCGGCAGAGGCGGCCGCCAAGGGCGAGACCTTGGACATGAGCAGGCAGCTCATTCGCATGTCCAACAACGCCATCATGAGGATGGTGGCGAGCGCGCTGCCGGGCGACATGGCCGACACCGCTCGGGACTGCGCCAAGAAGGTGGCGGAGCTGGTGGGCGCGTTCAACTTGGAGGACTACGTGGCGCTGTGCCGCGGCTGGGACCTGCAGGGGCTGGACCGGAAGACGCGCGACGTGCGCGACAGGTTCGACGCGCTGCTCGAGTCCATGATCAGGACCAAGGAGAAGGAGCGGCGTGGGGAAGCAGACGAGACCAACACCAAGACCAAGGACTTGCTTGACATTCTCATGGACGCGGCGGCGGACCCGGCCGCCGAGGTGAAGCTCACCCGCGACAACATCAAGGCGTTCGTCCTCGTGAGTGCTCCACTCTGTTCTCATGGATTAAATTGAGTTGAGTGCAGTGTCTCGTAACGGTTACTAACAATCTATGAAACAGGACATCTTCACTGCCGGGTCGGACACGACAGCCACCACGGTGGAGTGGATGCTGGCAGAGCTGCTCAACCACCCGGACTGTCTGCAGAAGCTGCGGGCGGAGCTGGATGCCGTGGTGGGAAGGTCCCGGGTGGTGGGCGAGCCGGACGTGGCCCAGATGCCGTACCTGCAGGCGGTGCTCAAGGAGACCCTGAGGCTGCGGCCGCCGGCGGTGTTCGCGCAGCGGGAGGCGATCGAGCCCATACACGTCCGTGGGTACACCATCCCTGTCAAGACGTCGGTCTTCTTCAACATCTTCTCCATCGGGCGCGAGCCGGCGTACTGGGAGGAGCCGCTCGAGTTCCGGCCGGAGCGGTTCATGCCCGGCGGCGCCGGCGAGGCCGTGGACCCTAAGGGGCAGCACATGCAGCTGATGCCGTTCGGGAGCGGGCGGCGCGCGTGCCCCGGCATGGGGCTGGCCATGCAGGCCGTGCCGGCGTTCCTGGCCGCGCTGGTGCAGTGTTTCGACTGGGAGGTGCCAAATCCGCCGCTGGACATGGAGGAGGAGGCGGGGTTGGTCACCGCGAGGAAGCAGCCGCTCGTCCTCCTGCCCACGCAGCGCCTCCATCCACTGCCCCTTCCTTAAATGCTTCCACGCATGCAACCATGGATCCCGGGCACGAGATGCCCATTGTATCACATACTCCTTTCCTAAATGCTTCCTTGCGTCGACACAAAAGCAATTCTACCATGCACGGCGCGGTTGCTTTGAGATTCTCCCAATTTTTCAGTGTGTCGCCATGTTGTGAAAAAATTGCCATCAGGATCGATCATATGCCTTATTTTGGTCACGAGTGTTGTAAAAAAAAAGGTGTGTCTACGTGATTACGTCTCAGACGCTGACATCAGCGCTTAGAAAAAGGCCCGGTTGATTTCGTTTTTTTTCTGTTTGTAATTGTTTACCGAAAAAGGCTATCGCCCCGCTTTATAAATAAAGCAACCGCCACAGAGCAAACATACCACATAGGTTCACACACACACACCCAAGTCTCACGAAAAAGAACCAAGGTTCTGCTGAGGGCACAGCTCAACAAGCCCAAAAAAGAGGCAAACAACAACAACACATCGCACCCGACACCAGGGGGCTAATCGGGCTCCGGCGGTGGCGGCGGCGGCGGCGGAGAGATGCGGACGGCCATCGATCGAAGGTCGGTGATGAAGGCGGAGATGGCGTCACGGTCCGAGGAGCGACTAAGCGGCCGTCAAAGCTGCAAGAAACCCGAGAATTTGTAGAGGGCGTCAGAAGGGCGACGAAGGGGAGCGCGCTGGATCACGAGTTTATTGCGAACGGTCCACAATGTCCACGCAAGGACCCCAACTTGCAGCCACCTAATGTGGCGAATGGACACGGGGGACAATTGGAGTTCAGCAAAGAGGTCCGGGGAGTTAGTGTGGCACCAACGAGGCTTTCTCTTTTGTCTTTCTGTTTGCTTGTCTTTTCCACTAGCTGTTTTCTTGTGCTGCCAAATGACTACTAACAATCTACCGAAAAATAACCAGGACAAAAGAGCCGACTAAAACAAACAAAAAATGTCCAACACCCATTGGCACTTGATCGTGTTGGACGTCATCTGGACGCTGTAAGGAAAACACCACATAGCCGACTCAAATGACACTTTTAGTTGTGTTCTCACAAACATCAAGGAGTTTCTGTTTTCTATCTTTCAAGAAATATATGTTAAATGACATAGCAAAATTTACTGAAAAATACATGAACATTTTTAATAGGTGAACACTTTTTAAAAACTGTAAAAACATTTTAAAAAACTCATGTACACCTCTCAAATTTCAAGGTTGTTTAAGTCTTAATTTCAAAAAAATCATCTTTCTTTTCTTATTACTTACAAAATGCAAATAGTATGTTTGCATTTCTGACGATATTTTTAGAAAAAAGTGTTACATAATTTAAAAAATATTCATCTTGTATTAAGAAGCATATTCATTATACATTATGTATTTGGAAAAAATAAGTTCAATATTATTTATAAAAGGTTAATCCAATAATTTAAAAATTAAGTTGTATTTGAAAACAATGTCTCATTGTGTACTTTTGAAAACAAAAACCATGTTGAATCTGCGTTGCGACCGAGGGGACACTTGAAGTAGAATGCTCTAGTGGTAAACATGCAATAGCCACCTCAAAATGACACTTCTGATGTTCTAAGTTTCAGTCGTGTTGAAGAGATGTTGTTGCAGTTGGGGCGACACTTGAAGTTATGTACGTATTGATAGGCATGCAACTGTCCTGCTCGCCCCTAAAAACACCAATGAGTTCAAGTTGTGTGGAAGACATATAGTTACATACAAAGGGCACACTTGCAGTAGTGTGTCTAGTGACAAATATGCAACCGTCCACTTTTTGAAAAAACACCACATAGTTGCAGGAGAAAATTCCTTATTTGACATTGTCTTAAAATCTGGTTCCTTATTTGACACTGGAAAAGTTTTTCTTCCCTATTTGACACTAGTCCTAAATTTTATTCACTATACGACACTTCCGTCCATTTTGAGTCTAAATGATACCTGAAAAGACGATTTTGCCTCTCATGCGGTATGTGCGTGCGCGCGTGTGTGTTGTTGCGTGTGTGGGTGCACGTGCACATGTGTGCTGCTGTTGCATGTGTGTGTGTGCATGTGTGCTGATGCGTCTATGTTTGCTACTGCGTGTGTACGTGTGCGCGTGTGTGTGTGCTGTTGCGTGCCTATGTGCTGCATGCGTGTGTGCTACTGCTGTGTGTATGTGTGTGTGTGTGTGCTGCCTGCGTGTGTGTGCGCGTGCATGTGTGTTGCTGCGTGTGCATGTGTGTGTGTGTGTGCACGCGCGCGTGCGTGTTGTTGCGTGTGTGCGCGCATGCGTGTGTGTTGGTGCATGTGTATGTGTTGCTGCATGTGTGCTCCTGCCCTCGCACTGATGCTGTGTGTGTGCACTATTGCCCCCCACACACATACCACATGCGGGGCAGGAGAGTCTTTTCAGGTGTCATTTAGGCTTAACATGGACGGAAATGTCATATAGGAAATAAAATTTAGAACTTGTGTCAAATAGGGAAGAAAAACTTTTCCAGTGTCAAATAAGGAAGCAGATTTTAAGATAGTGTCAAATAAGGAATTTTCTCTAGTTGCAGTTGAGGGTGACTTCTAGTTGCACGCCTAGTCACAGACATGCAACTGCCCACCCTGACAAAATACCACAGAGTTGCAATTTCATTGAAGACATGCAGTTGGGGGTGACACTTCAGTTGCGTGCCTACTGGTAGACATACAACTGGCCTACTCCCCTCGACAAAACACCACATAGTTGCGGACCTATCTAAGGCATGCAGTTGCAGACGATTGTGTGCCTAGTGGTAGACATG